CTGATGAAGATGTTTTCTTAATTTGCTGGTGCTTTTTCTATTTGCATGTGTTTTCTGAAGTTGCCACCATAACATACAGACTACTTCCAAATTACTTATGGTGCTGTCTAGGGATGCTCCGATCGATCGGCCGGAGATTGGTATCGGCCGATAATCACATTTTATGACTCGATCAGTACTCACTAACTTGGCCGATCTCAGGAACCGATCGCAATTTGATGACGTCAATGTGTGACGACGTACATGATGCGTGGGGATATAAATGATTTGGCGCCGCGGTCATGTCATCGCTGGTGTGGCAATGCTATGACGTTTCGAGAAACAATGAAAAATTCGCTGTTTGTCGTGTATGTTTTGCATGATGATATGATGAATAGATGGTTCATTTTTAACTGCAGATTCAGTGACGTTAGAGCTGATCTGCGCCTCACTGCACATGTCTGCGGGGTGTTACGGCTCCATGGGAACCAGAGCTGATCGCGGCCGCTCTAATGCTTGTGTTTCTGAAGCGGCTCTCCGCGCTGCTTGGCTAAAAATAGTCTTTTGTGAGTTGTCACAGCATGGAGGATGGAACAAAACCTCGTCGGAGCCGTAAGGGGTAACGGTAACATAACACGCTGATGGGCTGCTTTTAAATGAACATTTATTTATAAAACAAAAGATCTTCTTTGGCCATATTGGCGTACTCACGTCTCTCCGCGCTGCTTGGCTAAAAATAGTCTTTTGTGAGTTGTCACAGCATGGAGGATGGAACAAAACCTCGTCGGAGCCGTAAGGGGTAACGGTAACATAACACGCTGATGGGCTGCTTTTAAATGAACATTTATTTATAAAACAAAAGATCTTCTTTGGCCATATTGGCGTACTCAATAGCATTAACACAGGCTTTACTCCTTTTAAACTTTATCTGGAATGTTACCGTTTCTGTCACTGCAACTTCCCGATCAGGCGAGCGAACGAACACACACAAAATCGTCTGCCTTGTGAAAAATATGTATTTTAAAAAAATGTAGTTAATATTTGCTTAATTTATGATTTATTTTATCCACCCGTGACCCACCCGCAAATAATCAGAATGCATTTTTTTTATTACCCGACCCGCGGATTATCCGCAGTGCCAGTGGACATAGGAAAAGGAAAATATGTTTGCTGCGTAAATCAGACAAGAGGTCCTCGCTGCAGCCTGTAGCACGATGACGTAGCTGGATCAGATCCAATACGTACTGGATGTTTGACGAGCATGCGCAGTATTGGATCTTCATGTGCAAAGTGGGGCTGTCATTGAAGCTAGTATTTCATGTAAATTAAACTGTTATTACGAGATATAGGTGTGTTTCATAGGCTTACACAAATTATATTATACTGTGATTTTAAACTAGTAGTGTATTCAAACTTTATTTAAGCAACGATGGCGTAGTTTTGAATGAAAGCGTTTAGTATGTAAGCTATGTTTATTTTTTATTAGTTTGATTCGTTTTAGAAATAAAACTCTACTAATTACAATTTTGTTTGTTCTTTATGAAAAAAATGGGGTGTAACTATTGTCTTTGTTTCCACTGATAGTCTAGTCAACATAGTTAGTTCTGTCAAAAATTCATTCATGAATCAAATATTATTTTTTGTTCTCACTCTCTGTGCTATACGTGACAGAGTATAAAAAATGTTATAGGCCTACTAAAATATGCGGACATAATTTTTATACCATATAAAAATAAAAAGAAGAAAAACAATCCTGTCAGTCGGGGTTCCGTATAGCCGATAGACCCGTACCCGGGTTATACCGGGTTTTTACAGTTAATCCCATGTCCAGCAAATAAATACACACATGGTCGGGGACAAGGCATATTAACACAAAGATGACCATTTCTTTTTTTGTGTGTTATATGCAAGTGAAATCCCTGGAGATAGATAGACCAATTATAAATGGCTAAAGACATAAACCATCCATTCCGTTACGAGAGCGTGCTCTCTCTCTCTCTCTCTCTCTCTCTCTCGCTCTCTCGGGAGACTTTTTTTGAGTGTTGTATCAGACGATAATATGAAAAGCAACTAATAAAACATTTCTTTGACCTGACTCTGAAAACATTTCAGTAAGTTTTATATTTGAAAATCAACAAACAACAAATACAATTAGCAGCTATATGCACTTTTTTTTAGCAAAAACATTAAATTAACATTAACATAATAATAATAATAATAAATCACTTGTGTATATATATATATATATATATATACACACAATGTGATTTCCGTTCTCATCATGTGATCTTCGGTTAGGAGATCTTGTGATGCTTTTTAAAGCAAAGGTGGGGTTGATTTTGAGTTCACATACAAACATAAATAGAATAGGCTAATTAAATTTTTCTAGAATTCCAAACGCTTATACGAGACAGTAATGCCCTGCACCCTTCAAAGTACACACTTCAAGGGCTCTGCCCTTCGAAGGGAGTAGGGCATAGGGATGCTCACTTCTGTTTGGAATTCACCCCATGTCTCTTGTATCACCGCAGAGACGCGGACGTGCTCTCTCGTTTCATTCAAATGCAGCTTGCCGTCTCGCGTCTCAGTTTTTGATTGTATTGAAAATGAAATCGGAGGAATTTAGTATTAATACTACTATCATTTTGCTGTAGTGATCATATTGTCCTGACGATCCGGGAGAGAGAGAAGCCGCAGCGTGTGAACGCGCCGCCATCTTAATTTAATTAGCATGCTGCTTCTGCGTCAGACTGATGCTGGCTAGACAGGATTTACCGCGAGTTTTCAAAATTGCGATATGCAGGCTATTCAAAAAATAAATAATTAAATAAATAAAGCTTTGAAGTTGCCGGTATAGACGAAAACATCGCGGATGAATTTAGACATTAAAGTTTTTACATTGTAATGTAATGTAGGTCATCGTGTAGATATGTAATGTAGGTCAAAAACCCTTGCTACATGTACTGCGGTAGACTTCACTTAGACCAAGTTGTTAGACTAAGTCGCTGTGGATAAAAGCGTCTGCAAAATGATCAAATGTAAATAAAAATATGAATTTATTCGAGACCTACTACAGCGCATGCTCGTAAAATATCCACTACGTAGTGGATATAGTCCAGCTACGTCATCGTGCTACAGGCTGCAGCAAGGACCTCTTGAGAAAACCTGGGAGAGATAGCCTTTACAGCTAGAGAATTTCACGGATACGGTACAAAATAGTTAGGTTTAAAAAGATTATAATTATATTGATTAGATGCCATTTTCAAAATGCCAAACTTTTGACTGGTACTGTACTATAATATACACAAAGAATATCGGCCGATATATCGGTATCGGGCTTTTTTTTTACTCCCTAATATCGGTATCGGTATCAGCCCCAAAAAGCCCATATCGGTCGGGCTCTACTGAAAATGCAAATTCATTCTGTGCCAGCAGGAGGTGCTTTAAAGCGGGAGAAATACTTCAGTCTACTCATCACCTTAACTTTAACTGCGTTTGTAGCCGGCGCCATAGCCAGACTGTGATAATCAAACACAGACCGGAAGTTAACTTCGGGCCACGCGCGTGCGCCCGATGAAACCGTCTATATAAAGCTTGAAGCATCAGAATCGGCATCGGTATCGGCCGATCACCATGACAAGAAATCGGTACTCAGTATCGGATGCAAAAATCCTGATCGGAGCATCCCTAGACAAAATTAATATTTGAAACATTTTAAAGCAGCACTATGTAACTTTTTCTGTGTTCAAAATTTGCAAAATGTATATAATGAGCGAGTACATCATGAATTCATCTTCCAAACCGCGTTTTTGTCTTATTCCGAATCACTACGGTACACTTATAATAAGTACTTATATTTGGACTATTGTAGCCTGATCGGGTCGTCATCGCTGCGGAGTAACACATACCTGCGTGAGAAGTAGCTCCGGTTGGAATGTTCTTCCGCGGGATGTGTGCAGTTCTGTTTATTAACCGCTAGAGTGCCAAAAGTTACATAGTGCTGCTTTAACATTTGAAAATATTAAAAATATAAGTATTATTGTATGTTTTTTTTAAATATATAATTGTTTGTCTTATTTAAAATATATAAAAATGATAGTATTTTTGATAGTATTAAGTTAGATAAAATATTACAATATTTTAGTAATAGTAAATTGTACATTTTATGCATTTAAAATGCACTATAAGATGTCTGACACTTCTCCAGAGAAATGTTTTTTATATTGTAATAAAACTAATATAAACTACTATAAATGTATTTTTTAGTATGAATATTAAATGGATATTGAATGAAAGTGATTCAGGTTGACGTGTATGTGTGTTTATGACATTATTATGTAAAAGATGGCTTGTTCCAAAGCCAAACGCCCACACAGACATGTGTGCTGGGAATGTAGTGGGACTGAGAAGAGCCTAACCTTGTCATCAGGGCTGTGTGTGTGTTCGGGACAAAATGGTCCCCAGGAGTTATTTAAATCTGACAAAACCTCTCTTCAGGGATATCCAGGGAAATCCTCAAAGGTAAAAGGTTTCATAAAAAAAAAAAAATCAATGGCTGGAAAAAGACATTAGTTACATGGAGCTTAATGGAGTTGATAGCAGCACCTGCTGGTCTATATAACTGTTTCACTTGAGAGGAGTTTAGTTCTCTCTGTTGTTTTTTAGCATCGAACCCAGCATGTGAAAACCACCATATCAATCACAATAAACTTAAGGCAAAACGTTTATTCCTGAAAGTGCTGGTAGGGGAATGGAAACTGAGAATACGGAGTTAGAATGTCTTTTGAAGCTCGTGAAGGACAGAGGAAAGGAGGGTCTCAGAGGCCCAGTGCTCATGTCTCTCACACCCATACACAGTTAACTTTAGCTGTTCTCAGACATTTCTGTCCTCCTCTTTGTCTGTCTCACGCTCCGTCTTTTTTCATTACATAAACACATGTATAATAAAAGCATTTTAATAAAGTTAAATGCAAGTCATACTGTACATACAATAGCAACAGTGAACACTCTATAGCACAGTGAACTCCTTATTATTATT